TACTTAGGTTTTGTAAGTGGCATTGGCATTTTGTGAGTGGCGTTGGATCATCAGTCAACTGAACAGGCATAATTCACACGTGGGCAGAGCTGACTAATATGCCAATCGCTTTTAGTTAAAATGGACCAATAATGATCAGTGTGAGGGCACAGCAGATCTACTGCATATGTATCAAAAGAAATGCCTTGCTCCTGGCAGTAGTTTGTAAAATTTACTCCCATTACTTCTGGTTTGGTATGATCCCCAAGCAGGTCTCTGGCAATGTCCCCTAGTCTAAGCAAAGTTTGAACAGTTTCAAGAGGAATAAATATAATGACCAGAGCTTGGAAAAGTTCCTTGTTTTGGACTATAGTTCACAGAATTCCCTAGCCAGCACGGCTCCAGATTCCTTGGAATTGTAGTAAAAAAAATTATTTTCTGAACTCTGACAGTGATGTGCTGAAACCATCCATAAACAGTAGTAGAATGATGCTCTAGGAGAGCAGTTCCCAAACTTTGTTCCTGCAGGTGTTGGACTTCAAATCCAGATGCCCTAGCCAGTGTGGCCAACAGCCAGGACTTCTGGGACTTCTGGGAGCTGGAGTCCAAAACATCTGGAAGACCAAAATTTGGGAACCACTGGTCTAGGAGACATAGCATTGTCTTACCACTGTTCAGTTATGGCTGGCTTCAACATGTCATTTTATTTATTCTTAGCTCTGACTCCTAGTATTGTCTGATCTAGTGCCTTTTCTTTCAAATATTGTCTCCACATGGCACAGCTTGTCTAACGTATGTGAGGAACCAAGAATTAGGTTCCTGCAAGAAAGTGGTCTCTCCCTGTTTTAGAGAATGTGGCATTATTGAAACCACAATTAGCACCCGTCTCTGACAAAGGTTCCAGACTGCAAGAACTGGCAAATCTCTTTAACCTTGCTTATATAAATTATGTGGATCTGCTAAAACCTATATACCATAACTTAAGTGAAACTGACACGAGACCAAAATGGCAGAGATCCCACCACCAAGCAATTTTACAGGACCTATTTTATATCAAGATCATACAAGGTTAAAGGGCAAAGTGGACAGCAATACTATTGTTGTACTGTTTTAAAAGTGTATGGCTTTTGATGTCTGCTATTTTTTTTAATGTCCAATAGAAAGTGTATGGTTTTTAAGTGCTTTTATCTTTTTTTAATAGTATTCTACTTTTTAAAAAAGTGATCTGTGTATATATTGTACCAGTATAACTCTATTTTAATGATCACTATTGTATGTTTTTAATTTGACTGTGCTTTTACATTGTAAGCCACTTTGGGAGGAAAGTGGAATATAAATAAAGATGATGATGATGATGATGACAATAATAAATACATTAAGAGTGCATGAGTCTGTGACAAGCCTGGTAGGCTGCAACTGTAACTCCCACCATTCCTCAACAGTGACTATGCTACTGATAACTAATGGGACTTCTAATCCCACAACTTTGGAGGAGACATATATTGCTCATACCTGCCAAAACAAACAAACAAAAATCATATCAATTAACAGCATGAAGAACACAATATCTTGTGGCAGAACTGAGAATAGCCTTTTCTGTGGTGAAGAAAATTGTTGACCAGAGCCCATTACTTTGGATGCTTAATGTGCTGTCTTCAATGGCTAGGTATATTTTATATACTAGTAGGGAACTCATTCTTCCAGTGTGGATTCTTATGTAGCCCAAACTGGCTGCCTACATGTACATGAGGAAGATTTAAGAAGACTCAGAAAAAAGGCCAAGGTTTGCAGAAGTCCTAAAAATGTGGTGGTGGGGGGCAAGATCAGAAGGAAGACCACACTCTAAAACAACCCAATGAGGATTGAACATGGAGGGAAGAATAGGAAACTTGATCAGGGGCAGGGAAAATGTGATGCAGTGTCATGGGGAAAGATATGTCTGGCTGGCATCCCAAATAAGCACTTGACGGTGCAACAGTCTGGGTACTATGAATAAAGGTTGTTAAAAGTGTGTGGGTGGGTGGAGCAGGGATATACTGAAAAAATCCAGTGAGTCTGAAAAATACCAAATAATGCAAAGGCACAAATACAAATGAGAACAAGTCAAAAGAACAAGTTGGAGCAGGTTTGATCCCTGCTGCTATTGAAATGGCAAAGCAAGTTGATTAACTTTCAAGTATTTAAAGGGAGATAAAATGTTTTCTGCAGTGATCTAGCCATTTTCATTTTTTCCTGAGCTCAGATTTGACTACTGTTGAGTTTGTCAATGAATTCTGTTTCAGTAGTGTCATGCCTAAGCTTTAGTGAGTGCAGGACAAATAACAGGAAACAGATCTAAAAGGCTCTTTTTGTATTTTGGCAAGCCATTTTGTTTTTCCCTAGCATAACACCTAGGATCTCAAGATCAGAGTGTCCACATCTGAGATTCCTAACCCCATTCACCAGAAATCAATGGTGTGTATATGTGGGAGAAATACAAACCGAAACAGATGGACAGCCTTTTATAACCCATGAAGAATTCCAGAGTTGAAGGTAGAGAAGGATTGCTGACAGTCATTGTACAGACTATTGCAATGTTGTACATAGATTTGGAGTGGCCATGGAGACAAAGGTTTGAATAATCATAGAGCTTACAGGTGAGGGTAGAGATTGTCCTGAGTTCTTTGGCAGGATACAAATATAATACAAAAAATAATGCACCAATGATGTCTTGTAAACATTGGCAAAACCTTATTTTGGAAGAGTGTTCCTCCATCCCAATAAAACAGTAGTCAGAAAGATCCCCCAAGGCTTAGATAAACAACTTGAAGCATCAAAAAGTCTTGAATGTTGCTCAACTGTTTTTGGTCTTTCATTCCATTTTTATTCACTCCATATATAGTCATCAGTTCTGGCAACCTACTTTACTGTTCTTTGAACTGCTAATGCTGGCACAAAACACCAGTGTCTCCCAAAACCATATAAGCTTTGAGATAAAATTGCCTTATCAACGCTTTTAAAGACCAGATCCAGAGCAGTTGCAGAAGCAATGACAAATTTAGATAGCTGGCTTTTCAACAAATTTGTTTAAAAAATGTTGGGCGAGCCCCAGTATTCACTAGTTCTTCCATTAGAGTTCTTTCATTAATTGCCCAATGGGTGATTGAATTGTTCTGTTAATATTTCTATGGGGCAGCTTTATTTAGAGCACATATGATCCAATCCCATCAAGAACTCCATGGTGTTTTTATTCTGACATTGGGTTGCATCTAGCTTTACTGTAGTTACTATGCTTAGAGTAGCTCCACTGAAATCAACAAAA